GTGTGTGTGTGTACACGTGTCCTGGTGCATGTCCGTGTGTGTATGCTCACATGCAGAAGTCAGAGGACACTTGAAAGAGTTGGTTTTCTCCTTCCACCCTGTGGGTTCCAGAACTCAAAACTCAGATGGCCAAGCTTGACTTACAGATATCATTACCCACTGAGCCATCTTATAAGATCCCTGAACACTGATGTTTTTGTTCTAATTTTTTTTTTCATTCTGATAGACAACTAAATAAAAGGCCAAGGGTTTATTCAATTAACAGCCTACCTTAAGAAATTGTTTCTATTTACCATTTTTTAATTTAAATTAGAAACAAGATTGTTTTACATGTCAATCCCAGTTCCCTCTACCTCCCCTCCTCCCTCCCCTGTGGCCACCCCCCAACTAACACTTTACCTATCCCATACCCTTTCTGCTCCCCAGGGAGGCCTTCCATGGGGGGGGGTCTTTTTTATTGAGCTTTTAACTCTGTATTAGACATTTTAATATCTTCTTAAATGTATCTCATAACTTTCAGCACAGTTGTAGTTATGTGGATTTTCTGTGTTTTATTATTTTATTTATGGTTCGCTGGAGCAAACCTATGGCCTCTTGCATCTTTAGCAAGCACTCTGCCTCAGAGTCACATCCCTGGCCCTAAACTTTCTTTTTTGAAATAGCGTCTTACTTGTAACCCAGGCTGCCTGAGCTTTTGGTCCTCCTGCTTTTGCCTCCCAAGTACAGGAATTGCATATGTGCACCACACTGCCCAGCTTCTAAACATGCTCTTAGCCACTTACTGAGGAGGATGTGACTGAGGTAAACAGCCCTTTCCTAGAGAGTATATGCTAAAGTATTTAGTCCAGTACCCACACCACAGTGATGGCAAGTAGAACATTGGAGTATAAATCACTTTGACTAGTCAAAGGAAGGGTAACATCCTTTTTGAAGAGGCTGATGATATATTTTTGTACAAAAATATAACTAAATGTAACAGTTACAGGAAGTTTGTGTAATTGTGATGGTATGTTGTTTGATATATTAATTACAGTAATCCTTTAAGAAAATAGTCTGTCCCATGCTGAAGACAAATCCTCAACTAGATTTATTAGTGCCTACCTACCACATACTGTATTATGAAGAGTGTGACCATTTTATGTTCAGGCCTTGGTGTCAGGCTTGAGAATGATTCTGCACCCAGTCTATTCCCATCAGAAGGATATAGCCCAGCCTGTCCACCTTTATGACTCCACACTCTGATAAAGTTCAATTTGAAATAAAGCATACTGCATGGTAAATGCTGATAAAAGAATGTGTTAACTTACTGTGTCTTATTTTGTAATTCATTTATATGGGTTCTGTGGATCACACTCAAGTTACTAGACTTATGGGGCAAGTGCCATGTGTTTTCACCACTGAGCCCGTCTTACCAGCCCAACACCAGACTTCGGAGGCTTTGTAATATGAAGAATGTTCATGTTCATAAAGAATATTGGCTTTCTGTTCTAAAGATGAAATTTAGTGGCTGTGTATGTGTGCCCATTTCTGGGGATCAGTTTAATTAAGCATATAATCTACCAATTTAGAGTAACTGGAAATGGGGAATCCCAAGTTTTTTTTTTTTTATTTTCAGTTTACAAATGTATTCTCTTGGTTCCTTTACATAGCATGCTTCGAAGACCATTTAAGTGGGATTCGTTCTGTGGAATAGTGATTATTAGGGCAGAGTCACTTTTAAAAAGTCAAAAGAAACTGGTTAATACTCCTGTAGTAGCTACTTTGCTCTGGTTCTGGTGGCCCATGAGCAAAGAAAAGGAGTGAGCATGTTTGTGACTTTGCCAGAGAAATCAAGTAGAGCCTTGTAACACTCAGAAATTCTCACTGCTGCAACCCCCTGTCTGTTTTCTTTTTGGTCAGGGTCTTGCTGTGTAGCCCAGACTGACCTGTTGGTAATATTCCTGCCCTCAGTCTTCTTGTGCTGCAGTTTCAATAGTGTGCCACCATGACTGGATTTCTCTTTCTTTTTTTAAAATTACTTAGAAATTATGTATAAATATGTGTGTGTGCTAGTACTTGGGCACAAAGGCCAGAGAGGCATTGACCTCCCCTGGAGGTGGAGTTACATGTGGTTGTGAGTCATTTGATAAGGGTGTAAGAGTAAGAGCATTGTGGTCTCTTAGGCACTGAGCACTCTCTCTAGCCCCCATCTTAGTCAGGCTTCAATTGTTGTAAAGAGACCCCATGACCATAGCAACTGTTATAAAGGAAAACTTTTTATTGTAGTGGCAGCTTACAGTTCAGAGGTTCAGTCCATCAATGTCATGGTGGGACATGGCAATGTGCAGGCAGACATGGTGCCGGTTACATCTTGATCAGAAGGCAGCAGAAAATGAACTGAGACACTGGGCAATGTCTTGAGCATAGGAGATCTCAAAGCTGTCCTCACAGTGACACACTTCCTCCAACAAAGCCACACCTCCTAATAGTGCCACTCCCTGTGAGATTATGGGGGCCATGTACATTCAAACTCCAACACTCCCCAAATCTAATTTCTCTTGAATATTATAAATGAGTGTTAATCTGGATTTCCCTACTGTATCTTTTGATCTCTCTGTGGGGAAAAAATTTTTTTAAGACGACCCTAAGAATAATGTTAGTTCCCTCTACCCCTTTCTTTTGTAGTAGAACTTATAAAACCCGGGGCCTTGCACATGGCTGCAAACATTCTGCCACCAGCCATCTTCAGCCCCATGGGTTTGATTTTTTTGTATTTGTTCATTTGTATGTTTTTTGGTTTTGGTTTTTCAAGATAGGTTTTTCTCTGTTTAGCCCTGAAACTGGCTCTATAGACTAGGCTGGCCTTGAACTCGGAGATCTGCCTGCCTCTGCCTTCTAAGTGCTGTTATTAAAGGCATAGGCCACCACTGCCCAGCTTGGTTTTGTCTTTTAATAATTAAAAGTTTAGAAATGTGTCATTATGTCAAAACAGTAATAACTAAGAAGGGTATTCTTAAATTCTAGCAAGTGGGAGTATTCCAGTGCTGCAGAAGGACAAGGACAACACCAATGTCAACGCAGACGTGCAGAAGCTGCAGCAGCAGCTGCAGGACATTAAGGAGCAGGTAATGGTTGCCTCCCACCACCCAGTGCTTCCTACTGTGCCACTTAACTCGTGTCCGCTAGGCTGCGCGCCCTTGCTCAGTAGGTGTGGCTTGTGATAGCAGACCAACAAAACACACACAGATTCCAATAAACATGGCTGGGAAAAACCTGAAAACCTGCCTTGGAAGTGAGCTGCCTTCCAAGCTAGTTTGAAGAGTGTAGGAAGATTGTTGGTGTCATGTAGAAGGCAGAGTTGCAGCAGCAGAACTCCTTTGGTGCTGCTGGGCAGAAATGTAACTAAACTACGGAGGAAGACACTGTCATCTGATGAACCTAACAGAGTGGTATTTAGGACTCCAAGCCTGGCAGAAAAAACCTGGGTAGTGATTTTCTCTGCTAGGAAGAAGCAAAGGGGAAGTTTCTTGAGCCTGTTATAAGAGTCTGGTCAAGTTGTGGATTTCTGTGGCTTGTGTGCATTTCCATACTTCAATAGAAAATTAAAACGTGTATATGTGTTTTTATATACACAAGGGAAAGATAAGTGCAAAATTCAGATTGGTGTTGATCATTGAGAGGTGGATGGAGGGGAGAGGGGAAGTTATTAGAAGGGTCTTGAGAAGTGAGAGTAGTATTCTATACATCAAACTGGGTATTAGTTACATTTTTATCTCCATTTTATACAGTTTTGACAAAGTACACTTTTATCTACTCGATGTTTATCAAAGCAAGAAGATAGAAACACATTTATACTATGTGTTTGAGTCTTGAGCCAGGTGTAATGGTACATTCCTCTAATCCTAGAACTCAGGAGGTTGAGCTCAAGACCAGAGAGACCTTGTCTCACAAACATCACAATAAAAAAACAGTAAAGCAAATCCTGTTTGTCACCCTTGCTATCTATCTGATGCAGTGTGGTCTGAGGTTGGCAGTCACATCACTGTTGCCAGCCACTGAGCAGTTCTTGATTCCAACCTTGTTGTCTGTGTTTACCAGAAATAATGGATGTAGTAATGGTTCTCAACCTTCCTAATACTTCGACCTGTTATAGTAACCCCTGTCCCTGTAAAATTATCTCGTTGCTGCTTCATAACTAATTTTGCTATCGTTATGAATAGTAATGCAAATATCCAGTATGCAGGATATCTGATGTGTAACTCCTGTGAAAAGGTCATTCCACCCCCAAAAACCACTGCAATAGAGGGTGGCCCATGGCCACATGATAACTAGTTTCAAATGTGTGTTTACTAGGCTTTTGTGCACATGGCTGAAGAGAAAAAAGCCTTCTCACTGAGCTGGTTTTTCCTATAGAATCCTCATTTAGCAATAATTGTTCTATCATGATTAAAGATAGACAAGGATTTAAAGGTTTTCCCCCCTCATTTCTCTTCTCCCCCTTTCCTTTTGCCTGTGTTTGTGTGTATAGTGTCTGTATGTATATGGGTGCACATATGTGTTCCTGTTCATGAGCATATATATATGTACACATTTATGTGGAGGCCCAGGGTTGACAAATGTTTTCCTTATAGTTCTGGCTAGGGTGGCTAGCCAACTTGCTCCAAGGTTCCCCTGACTCTGCCTCCTGTACACTGGGATTACAAGTGTGTCTGTGTGCTTCCCTGGATTGACATGGGTTCTGGGGATCTGAACTCTGGTCCTCATTATTACATTTTTATAAATATATATCATTTTTTGTTTTTATTTGTCACCCTCCCCCTTTCCATCACCAATCAACCTACTTTCCTCTTATTGTGTGTTCCCTGCCTCCCACCCCCGTCAGGCTAGGCTTTCATGTCTTACTTTCTACTGCACTCTTACCCTCTGCTTCTCCCCTCTACAGTCCTCTTGCTGCTTCATGTCCAGTCAATATGGATATACACATGGCATTTGTAGAAATTTAAATCTAGATTCTGCATATGAGACATATGGTGATGTTTGGCTTTCTGGGGTTGATGTGCTATCTGCATGTACACCTGCACACCAGAAGAAGGCATCTTATTTCACTACAGATGGTTGTGAGCCACCATGTAGTTGCTGGGAATTGAATTCAGGACCTCTGGAAGAACAGCCAATAGCCTTAACCTCTGAGCCATCTCTCCAGCCCCCATTTCCTTATCATTTTAGTTAGTTATGGGGTATATGCATTCGTGAGTGTACATGTATGTTTGTATCCATATGTGGAGTCCAGAGGTCATCTTTAGGTGTCATTCATCAGAGCTTTGTTTGTTTTCCCCACGCACAGGAGTGTGCTGCCCTACCTGTGTTTTATGCAGTGCTAGGAATCTGGATTCACTTCCTAATACTTATCATAACAAGCACTTTTCTGGCAGACCAGTCTCCCTAGCCATAATCTGTTTGTTATTTTAGACAGGTTCTTCCTTTGTAATCCTGGATGGCCTGAAATTCACTGTGTAGACCAGACTGGTCTCAAACTTGTGTTGATCTTCCTGCCTCTGCTTCCAGAATGCTGGAGGCATGTGTGCCACCATTACAGGCTATAGATTGTCTCTTTACTGATAGTTTCTTTTGCTTTGGGAAGCTTTTTCTTTTCTTGTAATCATATTTGTTAAAGGGTATTAATATAGGTGAGAATATATTTGACTCAGTCAACGTAAAATAAAATAGTTTGGGGCTTAGGGAGATAGCTTAGTAGTTCAGAGCACTTGGCTGCTTTTTCACAGGTCCTGAGCTCAATTCCTAGCACCCACATGACAGTTCACTATCTGATACCTAGTCTTGTGTATTGGCATGCATGTAGACAAAGCACTGGTGTGCATGAAAAAATAATCTTTACAAAATGTTTAAAGTTTTGAAGCTCCCCTGCATTTCAGTTTCTTTCCCATGAGACACAGGAAGATGAAGCTGTTTTGTTTTGTTTTCTTGTATGGAATCAAAAATCCATAAAGAAGGGCTGGAGAGAAGGCTCAGCTGTTGAGAGCCCTGCTGTTCTTCCAGGGGATCCAGGTTTGCTTCCGAACTAACAGCCATGCCAAGTGTTTTATAAGCCATTTATAACTCCAGACCCAGGGGACCTGATACCTTCTTCTGACTGCATGGGCACCTGCATGCATGTGGCATACACAAACATAAATAATAAAACAAAATCTTTTTTTAAGTAATTTATTTTTTACATTCCTATCCCAGTTCCCCCTCCCTCCTCTCCCCCCACTCCCTCCACTTCCCCTCTTTCCATCTGCTCCTCAGAGAGGGTGAGGCCTCTCCTAGGAAGTCTACTAAGTCTGTCCCATCACCTAGTTGAGGCAGGACCAAGGCACCTCTCCACCCCCACAGCCCTGTGTCTAAGCTGGACAAGGTGACTCTCCATATAGAATGGGCTTCACTAAGTCAGTTTGTGCATTAGAATTAGGTCTCAGACCCACTGCTAGTGCCTCATATATTGTCCCAGTCACACCATTGTCACCTGTATTAAGGGATTCTAGTTCAGTCTTATGCAGGTTCTCCATATGTCAGACCTGAGTCAGTGATCTCTCACTAGCTCGGGTCAGCTGATTCTGTGGGTTTCCCCATCATGGTCTTGACTCCTTTGTTCATATTGTCACTCCTCCCTCACTTCAGTTGTACTCCAGGAGCTTGGCCCAATGATTAGTTGTGGAATTCTGCATCTGCTTCCATCTTTTTCTGGAAGAGGGTTCTAGCTTCTCTGGGGTTGTGGATTGTAGGCTGGGTATCTTTTGCTTTATTTCTGGTATCCACTTACAAGTGAGTACATACTATGTTTGTCTTTCTGGTTTTGGGTTACCTCACTTAGGATGGCTTTTTTGTCAACAATACAAAATGGCTCCCTAAAAAATGGGAAAAGATCTTCATCAACCCCACATCTGACAGAGGGCTAATCTCCAAAATATACAAAGAACTCAAGAAACTATAATTCAAACTACTAGATAATCCAATTAAAAAAATGAGGTACAGATCTAAATAGAGAATTCTCAACAGAACAATCTCAAGTGGCAAAAAGACACTTAAGGAAATGCTCACCATCCTTAGTCGTCAGGGAAATGCAAATCAAAACCACTCTGAGATTCCATCTTACACTGATCAGAATGGCTAAAATCAAAAACACCAATGACAGCTTATGCTGGAGAGGATGTAGAGAAAGGGGAACACTCCTCCACTGCTGGTGGGAGTGCAAACTTGTACAGCCGCTGTGGAAATCAGCATGACGATTCCTCAGAAAATTAGGGATCAACCTACCTCAAGACCCTGCAGTACCATTGTTGGGCATATACCCAAAAGAGGCATATTCACACCAGAAGGACATTTGCTTAACTACATTCATAACAACAATATTTGTAATAGCCAGATCTTGGAAACAGCCTAGATGCCCCTCAGTTGAAGAATGGATAAACAAAATGTGGTGCATTTACACATTGAAGTACTAGTCAGCGATAAGAAACAATGACATCCTAAAATTCACAGGCAAATGGTCAGAACTATAAAACAGAATCTTAAATAAAGGCAAAGGAAGGCTGTTAGGGAATAAGATAAAAGGGGGTGTTAGATAAGTGTGGGCAATGGCAGGGGTGGTAAACAAACTCAGAGTATTTTAAATACATGTACGAAGATGCCGCAAAACTGTTGCAGGAGCTTTCTGTCCCTGCTGGTCCCACGGCCCTTGAGCCCCAAATAAACACACAGATGCTATATTAATTATAAATCTGTTGGCTGATGAATAGGGCTTCTTATTGGCCAGCTCTGTCTTAATTATTAACCCATTTCTATCAATCTATGTATTGCCATGAGGCTGTGGCTTAATGCCCTGACATGTTGTTACTCCTTTGGCAGCATCTCGACTCTGTGGCAGGCTCTGTCTGCCTACTATTCCGAGAATTCTCCTCATAGTCCCACCTGTCTTCATGCCTTATTGGCCAACAGTGTTTTATTCAGCAACCAATTGGAGAAACATATACAGAAGGACATCCCCCATCATAAAACAGTAATGTTTAAAAAGTAGTAACATTAGAAATATATATTCACTGTGTGTCTGATACTATAGATCACACTTGGGGCTTACAGACATGGCAGACACACTCTTCTTGCAGACCTAACCCCAGCTTTCAGTTTCTCACACTGAACCATGATACATACTGAACCCTGTTATGGATCAACTTATTTCTAGAACTTTTCATCCTAAAAATGTTTATTCTTCCTTAAAAATTCACACCACCATAGTTTATCACTAAACAATTTAGACACTTGAAACAAAACTAAGTTTTTATGTATGGATGGGGTTTCTTACAGGAATCTTCCTTCAGGATGATCACAGTCTAAGGAAACATGAATAGTTCTTGTCACTCATATCCGAGTCTTTCTATTATCCCCTTGTCCATACCCTAACCCCTCCTACCCCAGTCTCACTGTGAAGCTAAGGCTGGCATTAGCTACCTCAGCAGGTTGTCGGGATTATAAATCCGACCACTTGACCCTGGTTCCTGCTTGTCTGGTTTAACTTAGAAAATTAATTTCACATACTACTAATAACAACATATCACTCTTAAAGTAATAAATGTGTTTCCTTTTGGAAATGCAAGTTATTAACTACATAGAAATCTTTTTTTTTTCTTTCATTTATTTTTGTCTTGGAATGAAAGCTAGAAGATCATTTAAAAAAAAAAAAAATGCGAAGCAAGTATTCCACCACTGAACTATATATCCCCAGCCAGGTACCTTGAATTCTTGAAAATGTAATGGAGTGACGATATTTTAATGCCACTAAATGAGTGGGCTTACCCCCCCCCCCATCTTGCTTTTTGAAACTTCAAAATAGATGATTGTAAATAGTTTGTTTGGAAAGGAATATGTTTGCCAATTTACAGCACAATTTTCCCCCGGTGGTTACAATTATCATCACTGTCATAGACTTGAGGCCTTGTTTAGTAATCCAGCCATTCCTATTTACTTTATTTCTATGTTGGGAGAGAGAAAATTCATAATGAAGTGTTACATTAGAGGAAAATGGGCTTTTGTTAGTGTAAGTATGTTTTATGGATAAATAATGACTAGAGTGGCTAAAAGCATATACCTAAGTCTTGAGAGCAGAATAGTTCTGGCAGAGTGTTTGAGAGCAAGAACTCCGGGGCTAGCAATCCCAAGATGACATGTCTTGATGTGAGTACTTAGCAGGGCTTGGGAGTTTAATATCTAGCATAGCGCCTAGCAAGGGCTCTCTGCTGGGTATCTGCACTGCACCCCACTTTAGTGCCACACAAGGCACTGGGTACTTGGAGGTAACAAGTCTGCTTCAGGTGTAGTGGGGTAGCTTTCATCCATTGCCCATTCTCCAATTTATTATCATTTATGTTGTGTGTGTTTGTATGCATAGTTTATGTGCATCCTGTACATGCAGGAGCCACTGGAGGTCAGATTCCCTGGAGCTGTGAGCCAGCATGTGAGTGCTGAGAACCAAACTCGGGTTCTTTACAAGAGCAGCAAGCATTTCTAACCTCTGAGGGTTCTCCACCCTGTACTCCTGTACTCCTGTACTCATGTACTACCTTTATACCGTTTGGAAAGAATAGCTAGCATCTATTTATTGTAGGGATGACCTTTTTTTATTATAACTATTTTTGAACACATGATTTTTAAATAATTTATTTTTGAGCTGGGTGTGGTGGCAACACCTTGAATTCCAGTACTTGGGTGGCAGAGGCAGGGAGATCTCTTAATTAGTTTAAAAACAGCGAAAGATCTCTTAATGAGTTTGAAACCAGCTTGGCCTACATAGTGAGTTCATCAGCCAAGGCTACAAAACAAGTCCTAGTTTCAAATACCCCCTCTACAAACAAACAAACAAACAAACAAACAAACAAAAAACCACACACACTGGAAATTTTATTCTGAATAGCAATACATTATTTGACTAAAACCAGAAGAGAAAATTAATGATCTGAAAGAGTTGTCATGTTGCACTTCAAGTATAAAATGGCTCGTATTTACCCGTTGTCTCATTACATTTCAGACTATGTGCCCTGTGTGTTTGGATCGTCTGAAGAACATGATTTTCCTCTGTGGCCACGGAACATGCCAGCTCTGTGGAGACCGAATGAGTGAATGCCCAATTTGTCGAAAGGCAATTGAACGGAGGATTCTTTTGTACTGATTAAGAAACACAGAGTGTTTTGTTAGCTAAAGTATGTGATCATGAGATCTTAGTGGGTTCTAAAGCTAGTTGGAAGTTTAATCTAATGGATTAATTTGAAATTTCATAATTTTTTATTAGAATGTAATTAGATTTGTATATGTACCTCCATCACAACGAAAACATCATACAGTGTTTGAAATTGCCGATTTGGGTGTGTGTGTTTTCCTCTGAAAATTTGGAACATCAAATCCGTGTTAATTAATAGAAAATTTGCTATTGGCTTCAAAGGGGAAATCCTTTAAGGACCTCCTTTAACATTTGTTTTTATTGTATTTTTCTTTTTAAATTTATACATATGTTAGACCTTAAAAGTGATTTACAAGGTCGATATTCCTTCATGATTTCATGATTATCATGATTTCACATGGTGAAATGACACAGCTATTCCAAAAAGTCCTATGTAAGGTGAGTGGGCAAGTAAAACTATGTCACATGTGTTAAAAGTATAGTAGAGATGCCACATGGCTGAGGCAGTACTGAAGGAAAGATTGTATTTCAAGATAATTAGAAATCATCCAAATGATTATTTCAGAATTAAGTAAATGGAAGCATGTGCTAAGAGAATAATGACTTTACCTTATTTCCTAGACTTAAGGAAAATTGATTAGCTTAAATAAATGACCAGTTTCAAAATCAGCAGTGGATATGAAAGGGAAAAGCAAAATTGTAATGAGAATTGAAGGCTCGCACAAAATGATGCAAGCACACCTCCTACCTGACCGTTACTGCTGCACTTCTTGTATTAGCTTGTCACTGTTTGGAGCAGCCATTTGCAGAAAAAGATCTGTGAAAAATAATTTCCATTTTCCCCAAGACAACTGGCCTGGGCTTGATCTAATGAGTGCACACACCGTCGTGTTTGTGCCTCTGAGGTCTGCTCAGCAGGGCAATGCATTATTAGAGGCAGCAATCTTCTGTGTCTGTTCATTCTGACAGTGTTACAGAGTATCTTCATCAAAAGCCTTACTCCCCCTCTCTCACATAGCGATTTTTGCTACAAAAATATTCTTTAAACTGCCAACTATAACTAAGATACAGTAAATAGTGTAATATCAGATACTTAGAAAAGGGTGCAGAGGCATTTATGGAAAAGCATGTGATTACATGTAGATTTTGGAGGGGGCTAAGCATTTCTCTCCTTTAAATGAGTAATCTCTGTATTTATAGTAAATATATGCGTGTTTTGAGATTCCTTACTGTTAGATTATAAGAAATTTCAGCTGTTTACAGTAGTGTCTACTATATACTGTGTATAAGTATATACTCTTAGTGTTCTTTGGGGATAGTTTTTCCCCACATTTGAATCTGGCTAGCTTATTTCTGTTTTTCTGCTGTAGCAACTAAATGTGGGAGACCAGAGCATCCAGCCTGATTGTGCTTTGTTGCTGGTGGTTCACCTGCCACCACCTTTGCCAGGCCTCATGGGATGATGTCCTGGCTGTGTTGCAGACTCAGCAATTCCATGTCTGTGTTTAGCTGAGTAACTGCTGTTTTTTGAGATAGCGTCTCACTATGTATTCCTGGCCTGGAACTTACTGTGTAGTTCAGGCTGGTCTCAACCTCATGATCCTTCTGCCTCTGCCCTCCAACTGTGGGATTATAGGATGAGGACCCCCTGCCCCCTTGTGTCCAGCAACTATTAATCATTTTGGACAGTACAGTTGTTAGTTTCAGATTAGGAATGTTATGTTGTGACTTTAGTTATGTAGTTAGGAACCGATGAGGCCATTTTCTAAGTATAATTTGAAGTTAAAAGAAAAGATATTCTGATGCTAGGATGTTTACATAAAGAGACAGACTATCTTCTTGCAGACTTGGAAATAGCAAAATTGAGGGTCTTATCTTCCTTGCCGTAGACTGCCCATTGGGCAATGAAGGATGGCTGCTGTACACAGTCTGCCAGTCCAAGAACCTGTAGGCCACAGCTGCATCTCATTTAAGTCCTTTTCTCTGTCTCTTGAATTGCAGTGCTAAAAACTTGTGTCTGTAAGGGGACAGCTCCTAGCTCTGTTTCCTCCTTGTTAGAGCACACTAACTTCTGTGAGAGAAGCCGTAAAGTCTCTAGTGCTGGGACCTGTGGATTTCCCTTTGTCACTTGGCTGTTTATTTATGAATAGAAGATATTCTTCTAGTCATGTCTTCAGGCACCTAAAATTATTGTAAATTTGCTTGGGTTTGCAGGAGACAGTAAGACCAAGAACTGAATCATGCCAGTGACTTTCTTCCTCACTCTCTGAAACTGCTACCTCTTAGTCTCTTCACAGTACTTGGCCCATTGGGTAGCTCTCTTCCTTGTTACCCAAGCCTCTCTTCCCTGTGCCTCAGAACAACTCATACTTCCCTTAGGATTATTTTTACAGTGGCATACATTCTTTTTTTCCCTTTTTCTTTTTTTTTTTTTTTAGCATTGGGTTTCAGGGCCTTGATAGGAAGGGAAAAAAAAAAAAAAAGGTCAGTGTCCTAGCACATTCAGAGTTCACACTGCAGTTGTGTGTTAGGGTCTCTAGGCACTGTTAGCACTCCTGATGATGTTTCAGGAAAGCTTTGGGAAGCAGTATTTGGAATCCTTTTCTGTACCCTCACCCGACCACATTTTCTCCCTCTAAATACATACAACTCACCAGATGGTGCTAGCACAGTTGCACTTGTTCATGTGGGTTAACATTCTTATCTATGCTGTGCACATATTAATTTTGTTTGGAGCAAGGTTTCCAAGAGAGATAGTTTTATATTAGTGTAAGAACATTATACTAGGCAAGTTGCCCAAATTATGCTTAAGGTATTTGTAACTTAATAATGGCAAATTAACCAGAAGTCTACTGAAACATAAATGTAACTGGAAATAACTTCTTAAGTTTATATTTTTGATGATTTTAGCCTGAAAGAACATTTTACTTTAGAATGTTGAAATGCATGCTGCTTAAGATTTGTCTAATTCAAAATTCAAACCTTGCTGGTTCATTTTTACACATGCGAATATCTTGGGTAGTCATACGTTGCCTGATGGGTGTTCTTTGCTTATTTTGAATTCTGGACACTTTTGAACTAGGAATAGTTAAACTAGGACAGTGCTGGATGGAGCAGAGCTGGTTTGAGACGTAAGGGTTGCAGCAGGTGTGAAACAGAGACAGCAAGCACAGAGAAAGGAGCGTCATGTAGGGTTTGCCGCGGCCTTAGTGGAAAGGGCATGCGTATTTAATTAAGAATAAAAGTGTCTGGTAGGTCAGTTCTTCATATGTCTTCACAGTTGTTTTGTAAATTACAGATTTTAATACAACTTGCTTTTTTTAAGGTCTAAAAGCATTTATCCTTTCAAAGTGTCTGAAATATTTATAGTAATAATTTGTATAAAAAATGACTCACAGGATACATTTTTTGGAATTTTTTTAGATTGCAGTAAGAACCACATATCATACAGTTTGTTATCCCGACTGCTTCTAAATGTGCAGTTCAGCAGCGTCTCTTCCACTATGTTGTTGAAAAACAGGTGTGGAACTTTATCCTGCACAGTTGAAATGTCACATCCATCAAGTACTCCCTTTTTCATATCGTCTATGCAGTAGGGGGTTCTGAGTACATATAAAGCAAACATTCACATTACTGAGTAGAGTCCTTTGTGTTTGCAAGATCTAAACTTAGGTAGACATCAGGTTCCTGACATTTGAGGGAAGGCAATCTCTCCCCTGCCATAATTGTTATTTTTACATGTATATTAACTGAAAGTGTTTATTAGTTCATTTTGAGCTGGGGTGGAAAAATACAATTGGGGGAGATTCGAGACAGGGTTTCTCTGTGTGGCCCTGGATGTCCTGGAACTCACTCTGTAGACCAGAGTGAGTGGCCTTGAACTCACAGAAATCCACCTGCCTTTGCCTTCCAAGTGCTCGGGTTAAAGGTGTGCGTTACCACTGCCCAGCTCAGAAAAATACATTTAAATATGATAAATAAGTTAGCTTTCTTTTGTATAAATTGGGAAGGTAATAGATTTTTCACAAGTAATTTGTGCCTTGTTATAAACACCCCTTGTCATTGAGTCTACCTGTCAAAGTTTTAGAATACATTTTTCTTTTAAAATGGCGTCTAATTTAACTTCCTTGAAATATCACATAGGAATGCTTACTGATGTTACTTGATAATCATGTATATCCTTTTGACTTTAACACACACACACACACACACACACACACACACACACACACACGGTAGCAGTATTGATGATTACGGTTGTATGTCTCTAAACATTAAATGTGAGGAAGCTGTTTAATGCTGTCTCGTGCACATGTTGCTTTACTTGCAGTGAAGGAGAAGTCCTTTGCACTGAGTGTCAGTGGCTGATAGAGTGGCTAGTAGTGCAGTGAAATACAGCATACAAAGAGGAATGCGTAGTTAATGAAGTTAAGTTGCTGCTTCGGCATTTTCTACCTCCTTTTCTATCAGAATACTGCTCTTCTTCCCCCTTCTAGCATCTCATCTTGTTTGTGAGTGAGAAGGAAAGAGCCTGAGGTTAAGTTAGACTCCTTTTTTGAGAATGTAAGCAATAGGTGCAGGAAAAGGGACTGGTCAGATTGATTTGGTGCCTGAATCTAAAAGTATGAATTGATATGTGCAAACTGTCTAAGAGGAAAAATAGTGCTGAGTATTTGAATTTTCCTGCGTAGTTCTCTTGATTTTATTTCATAAACATGACTTTCCTCAAAAGCAAAGTGGTCTTCTAATTTTTTTATGAAATAAGCAAATACGCCATTTTGTCTGAGTATACAGTTTCAGGAAGCTGCTGAAAGTTCCGACTCAGGGCTTTTTCACAGTTTAAGCAATTAGTAATATATTTTGGAAACTCCATCTGCATAATTTTTCAGTGCCTTGAATGAATTACTAACCCAGCAACACTTCAAACTTTGTAGTGGGCAGCCTTTGGTGCACTGGGTCATGTGTGCACATTCCTAATTATACTGCTAAGTGTGTGCAGTAGCAGCTCTGCATGTGTGCTGGGTTTGCATGATTCTTTAAGGGAAGTGTCTACATTTGCACTTGATACTTGGTTTTTGCTTCTGTTTTTTAAAACCTGATTATTCAATGCCATGGCACTGTTACAAGAAAACTGGTGTTTGCTGTCAGTATGCAGTCACCTTAAATAGCTGTTGGGGAAAGGGCAGGGCACACACTTTGTTTAGTACAAAAAGAGAATCAGTTTGGGAAGCAGATCTTCCTCTCAAGTGGAAACCAAACCAAGCCAACCCCTTTTTTTAGTGGTTCAATTAAAAAATTAATTGAAAGGAAATCATGAATTGCATGTCATTCTTGATGCTGACCTGTAGACTAAATGCACATTTCTGTCTCCTTCAGTATGTGTCTGCCATTCTAAGTACAGTATATTCAAAAAGGAAAAAGTAGTTTGACTCACAAGTGTTTTGCTTTGTATTTTTTTTTCCAGTTCTTCTTAGATTTCAATGTTGGAATAAATTTAAGTCTTGCTTATGGATAAAATTCTGTATGGAAAATTATTCTTGCTTATTAGCTTTTGTTTAAAAAAAGCTTAGTAATAACTAAGCTTTTTGAAATAAATGAAAACATTTACCATTAATAAAACCTGTGGTGTAATATGTTTTTCTCTGATTTTTGGGAAGCTATTCTTTACAGTAATATGAATGAATTTTTATTTTTAAGGCATTTGAAAGCAAATCTCAGTACATCAAAAAAAATCCTATTATTGGAAAGAAAATTACCATATCTTTGAGAAACAAGGACATCTCTCTCCAAGTCAATATAAGAAGTAAGCATCCACATCTAGAAGGCTCCCACTGTGAGTGCTCACATGGCAGGAGCCTCTGTCCAATGGTCAAAGAAGCTTTCATATTTAACACCTACTTCTTCAGGATTAAGATTATTTGGAAAGTAGCCTGAATAGAATAGGCTTGATCAAAGGAAACCAGACAGGAAGACTCAGCCTGTCTGTCTCTATATATTTTAAAAGCTTACTCCTCTTCAGAAGTCAGGGGTGTGTGTGTGTGTGTGTGTGTGTGTGTGTGTGTGTGTGTTGTTTTGTGTATAGCATTTTTTGGAAGGCAAGTATTTTACAGCAATGATGTATCTCTCCCCTTTTCAGTGTTTTGTGAGTAATCAGTCATTGAATAGTTTGGGGGTATTTTACTTTTAACGTCGCTAGATGCACTTGTTTGTGATGTTGTTGAGAGGTTTTCTGATTCCAGTTTAAAAGATATGTATCCCAAATGTCTAAGAGAAAATCCATCAGAAACAGAATCTTTTGTTTAATTGATAAAAGCACATGTATTCCAACAACTTTAAAACTGAATTTTTTTGATAACTTCTAACAAATTGTATTTTGTGTTTATTTCTATTACTGTATAAGTAGCTATCTCATGGTAATATTTTTATTAAATTGAAACTAGGTTTAAAAATAAAGACATTTTAGAAAATCTGCTTTATATTTTTATCATTGACAGTTAATTCATCATTCACATAGGTTAAATTTCACTAATACTGTATAGCAAGCATTTCTCAAACTTGGTGATGTTCTTTAGAGCTGCATCAGGAATTCAGAGGATGCAGCAAAGCGTGGGGTAAAGTGGGAAACCAAAGCAGTTCCTGCAGTGAGCATTTGCCTAATAGTTTCCCCATTTATAACCAAACTAATAACTGATGAGCGCACTTTTATTTTCTTGAAGGCCTATAATAATAATAATACTAAAAGATAGATGTAGGAAGTAAGTAAAAGACTAGACCCATAACAGACCACCAGTGAATGGATGACATGTCAAGGACACTGGTTGGTGGTGCTGCTGTTGTGTGACACCCTGAGGAGATGCTTTCTGTTTGCCCTGGATAGGCCCTTGCATTCACAGAACAACTTTCTAAAAGACAGAATTTTAAAAGCAGTGTAAATATTTATTTTCACATCTCACCAATTAGTATTGATATTGAGCAGAACATTAACAATTTAGAAAGTGCTGATAGGGTGAAGTTGACCCTAGTCTAACAAAGACAAGCAGTCAAGCTGAGCCTTTACTTTCTGACCATATCACAGGCAAACCATTGAGGAAAGACACCTGTCGAGACACCCAGGAGTAGACTCCTTTGGGAGCCAGTGGTAGGTGAATTACTACAGGCTTAATCTTAAGAGGTAGAAATTCAAGGGGAGGGTACCATATGGTTGAGCTGGAGGACCTATCAGTTCTTGCCTCAGTGGTAGAGCACTTGACTGATGTGTGAACCCAGGTTCAATCCTCTGCACTAGATGAAAAAGAAACCGAAAATGTACCATTAGTCAATTGTTTAATCCTCAAGGTCACATAGGACATTTAGTAAGGAAGATGACATTTGGGACCTTCAAATATACTTAAATGAATCTTAAAAGAATGACACAGCATATTCTCCCAGACCACAATGGAATTAAACTGGAGGTCTACAGAGATGGTTTTAGAGAAAAGTTGTTAAGCTGGGGACTAAGCTACACACAGGTTAAAGAAATCTAAATAAATGGAGGCTACTTTGGATAACTGGGTGTTGTGGCTTACACACCTTAGGAGGCAGAATCAAAAGGGTCTCAAGTTAGAGGCTGGCTTGGTGATTGATAGATACAGCCATAGGCACGCGCTCGGGGAGCCGTGAAAGCAGTCCCAGGAAAGGAAGCAAAAGATGTAAACTCATCAAGCCTCCTCTAGCAAATTAGAAGAGGAACAAATGAGTCAAAAGAAATACAAATGTGAGCAGATACTGGAAGGAAAAACAAAACAAAGCCCCCAAACTAAACAGGAACTTTTTGAAGGAAAATTAATAAAATTAAGAGCCAAACCCTGAAATGATAAAGAGATTAGCCAGCTTAAATAAACTATTAAGGTAAGGATTGCTGACACCAGAAATAAAAGCAGTGCCATCATTCTATAAAATGAAAGTCAGTCATGGTATACACCTATAGTCCTGGCATTTGCACAGTGGAGGCAGAATGTTTGGTAGTTTACAGTCATCCTCAACTGCAGAGTGAGTTCAGGCCCACCCGAGCTACATGAGACCCAGTTTAAAAAAATATGAACAAATATTTCTGAGTATTGTATGTTTATGTGTGTGTGTGTGTGTGTGTGTATAATTGTTATTACCACTTAAAGGTATTCCCATCAGGGAGAACTGGGGAATCTGGATAGCTATCAGAGAAATTGCCTTTGAAAACAAAAAATAGGAGCAGAGCCTTTCATGCCAAATAAAGAAATTATGCCACGTATCTACTGTCTCTTCAGAAGCAGAAAGAAGACTTCCTAAGAGAGAGAGCCCAGTTCTTAAGTAAAGAGTATTCCTTAGGGTTTTTTCTCCAACTTAATCTATGAATTCAAACAAAAATACTACCAACTTATTTTATGGATATTGACAAAGTTGACTTTAAAGTTTATATGGAAGAAGAAAAAGTTTGAGGATTAACAACAGTCCCTGACTCCAGGACTTAAGATGTGTACAGCTGAAGTTCTATAATCAGCCTTGATGCTCACCAGCAGATGAATGGATGAAGGAAAACGTTACATGCATATAATCCAACCATAAAGAATGAAATATTAGACAGAAAATGGAAGGAACCTAGAGATCACCATATTTGAGTGACAGATTCAGATGAGTGTTGCACAGTGTGATGGTTAATGTGTTCAACTTGACAAGATCAAGAATCACCCTAGGACACATACCTGTGAGGGATTTTATCTGGATGAAGGTAACTGGAGTGGGAAGACCCACTACTCCATCGATCTGGATCCTGGATGAAGTAAAATGGGAAAACTAGTTGACTGGGCAAACATCACCCTCCGCCTCCTTATTGAATGCAGTGTGACTAGCTACTTCACGCTCCTGCTGCCATGACTTTCCAGCCATGATGGACTACACCTCTACTGTTAACCCAAATAAACTCTTCCTTTCTTGAGTTGCTTTTGCCAGGTATTCTGTCACAGTAATAAGAAAACTAATAGAGACTTGGTGCTGAAAAATGGGCCTGTTGCTGTAATAAACCTGACCATGTTTCTTAAGACCCTTGGAACTTGTTTGCAGGAGGAATGTGGAAATTTGAAACTTTGGGCAAGGAAAGGCCTTGAATATTGTAGGCAGAGCTTAATAGACCATTCTGATGGAACTTTAGAAAACACAAATGCTGAGTAAAACAGACAGTGGGAAGTTGGCTCGTGAAGTTTCAGAGGATAAGATCCCACCCATTGAAGTCTCTGTCTTGTGAAATGCAAATTCATTACAAAGGGAAGAATATAAACTGAGAATCAAAAGCAACTGCCTGGGGAAGTGTCTCCCCAAGATCAGCACACAGAAGCAGACATAGCTGTGATCCAAGGGAGTCAGGTCCCATTCCAAATCGGCAGTGAACATAGCACCATTCACATGGTGGTTGTTTTTTCAGGCATAAAGGATTGAAGAGGTTATCCAAGCTTGTATCTCCATTCGAGGGAGCTGCTAGATGAGGCTGATTCCCCGTGGAGAATCTGAACCCCAAGCTGCAGTGGAGACTCAGAACCATGGGATTTGCTGAAGAAAGCTGCAGGCATGGGGCAGAGTTGGCCCAAGAGAGATACCATATGCTGTAAGAGTGAACCTACCTAAACCATCTAAAGCACAGACAATTCTGTCATGACCCCCAGATGCCAAACATGGAGCTGCAGAGTTGACAGTTGCCCTGCTGAATTTCAGTCTTGCTTTGGTCTAATTTTTCCCTGCTTTGTCCCTATTCTCTTTTGGGACAGGAATGCTTGTGCTGTGCCATTGCTGTGTGTGTAACTTGTTTTTTGCTTTACAGGAGCTCATTGTCTGTGAGTCTCAGATGAGACTTGGACTTTTAAACAGTGTTGAAATTGTTAAAAGACAATGAGGGCTTTTGGATTATGAGACGGTCATGAGCCTATGGGGATGGAAATTACTCTTTGAAAGTGATATGTTTGACACTTGGGAGGCAGAGGCAGGCGGATCTCTGTGAGAGTTCGAGGCCAGCCTGGTCTCCAGAGCGAGTTCTAGGATAGGCTCCAAAGCTACACAGAGAAACCCTGTCTCCAAAAACACAAAAAAATAAAAATAAAAAAAGAAAAGAAAAGAAAGTGATATGTTTGGGTATAAAGTTGACACAGGGTAGAGTTGTTATGATTAATATTTTCAACTTGGCCGAATTTAGAATCATCCAGGAGACAAGGCTCTGAGAGATTATCTAGAATAGATTAGCCTCTGGCCATGCCTATGAGGGATTGTCTAAATTAAGGTAATTGAGGTTGGAAGAACCACCTTAACTGTGGGTGGCACCATTCCATGGGGTGGGGGTCCTGAACTGAATTAAAAGGAGAAGGCTAATTGAGCATCAACATTCGTTACTCTCTGCCTCCTGACTGTATACAGTGGGACCAGCTTCTTCAAGTTCCTGTTGCCATGATTTCTTAGCCATAATGGATGGTACCCTTCAGCCATGAGTGGAAATAAACCCACCTTTCCTTAAAGTTACTCTGATTTTCAGATATTTTAATCACAATCATAGGAGAAAATGCATGTTTTCTTTCATGTGGGTCTAGATTTAAGTATGAGTATGTATATGACAGGGAAGCAGTTTGTGAGGAAGAAGCAAAA